AAATCTTAAGCTCTGTTGTAAACAGAAAGATGTCACCACTTCTTCTTATCGAAGTTCCTCCTCCCTATACCATATTCTTGTAATCCATACAAATTGTATGGTTCAGTAGTTATATTTACATAGTAAATATGAGTACATAATACTTATGTACATACCTATCTTTCCTACTTCAACATTCAATTTACTCTCATAAATAAGTGTGAAACATATTCTATCCAATTCAATTTATATATCACTACCATCACTACCACCACTACTACTGCTACCACCATTTACAACAATTGAAATAATTTCTTTCTCATATTCAAAAGCAAATTTTGTTGACCATAGTGGTATATAATTTTGATAATTTCGTTATACTAAGGAATAAAAGAAAAAAGTAATGAAATTATTGTGAGGAAAGAAAGGCCAGATATATATATATGCAAATATAAATCGAAAAGATACTGTATGCTCGCTGTTGACTAGTTAAGCTTAATTGGAAAAAAAAGCGATCATTGAACTGCATGATAATTCAAAATGACTTAGAAGATAATAGCTCATTAGAATAATTATCTTCAAAGGATCATTTCGAATTATCATTCAGTTCAATAATAGTTTTTTTCTTTAATAACAAGATTTAGTTTTAATAATATCAAAATTAAAGTAATTTAATTTTACGATTAACAAATAATAATGATAGAAAATATTTCTTAAATTTCGAAGTCCAATTCAATATATCATAAGATATTAACAAACATTGTGATATATTTATCCATTGTGATTACTATCCAACAGTTGTTTTCGTATTGTAAGCTTTTTCATTTTTGTTGTTGCTTAATGTGTGGAAATTGAAGGAAGAATGGTTGTAGTAAGTGGACCACGGTAGGAACTAAGAAAGCCAAATACAAATAACCTGTAATTACAATGACCATCTGCTTTGCACAAGAAATAATTACACAGTGAAAGAACAAAAGAATGGATGGGATTCCCTGCTGAAAATGCCTCAATACTAAATTGCACTTTTTAGTTGTATGATGGAAAAATGGTACTTTTTCTGAGCAATTATTTCTTAACCTGCAAATAATACTAAAGATATTTAGGAATTTTTTTATTCATTCCATTTCATTTCTTTCAATTAATTTCCTTCCACAAAATTGTATTTTTATTTCTTAAAAAGTACACAATCAATTAATTATTCCTTTGAAATATAAGCCGCCAACAAAATCACTAATTGAAGTGATAAATAAAAGTGAATATGTTGTTAATTCCTTCAGTTATCAATAGAAAAGAATTATTAACTTCTACTGCAAATTTCCTTCTCTTCTCTTTCTCTCTCTTTTTATGATATAACTAAAGTTATACTAATTGAAGATTTCAATAAGAAAATTCAAATTTGACATCCTAAAAAAAGATTTATTCAAAGAAGCGAATTTTGAATTCACAATGTTTACTAACTATAATTTATATATGTCATTCGTTTGTTATGTGTTATAATTAATAAAGTTTAATTATAAAACAGTTATAAATATTTAAAAAACTGCATGATATTTTAATTAAAAAAATTTTCTTCCTTTTACTATTTAAGATAGAAAATTTTTAATGAATGAACAATGCAGCATTGTTTGTATAAAATTTCCATTTATTTCTGAAATTTCCCTAAATCATTCTGAAATGCTTATTTGACAAATCAAAATCAAACAGGTGAGCTAAATGTTAACCAACAATGATATTTTCCTTATAAAATCCTTTTTTTCTTTTTTTTCGAAGAAATTAGATTTCAACTTTTTTTGTTCCAAACAGATTTCTACCTGAAATTAGTGAATATTTTAGGGAACAAAAATTGATCATACTGTATGAATTACTTAATGTGAGTGGTCAAAGATGTGGAACATATGAAGTGTCCCTCGGGTAGTTAATCTTTGTTTTCCCGAGTTATGAATGTACTGCATTCGATAGAATTAATTAAGTTCCTATTTTATCTTAGCTAACAGCTGTATCTTATCTTGTCTAACAGAAATTATAGGCAGAAAAATGCCTAATTTTCAATTAAGATAAATTTGTAAATAATAATTCATTATTTTCCTCAAGATTTCTATAACTTCTTAAAGACCAATAATTATCAATAATTTCAGAATTTGCTAATTACCTAATTCCTGAACGAATCATTCACATTGTTGACACCATTTGCGCCTCTTCGCATCAATTCAAATTCTAATATTTTCAAAAAACCATTTTGTTTTGTCAATAAAACACGTTCGAATATGTTTGCCAATAAATATGTGATGTGAATCTTTTCTTTTTCTCTCTCTCTTTCCCTCTTTAACTTTATTGTCGTTATCTTTGCAGAACTTTTTTTAACCTTACACAGACAGTTCATTTGTCTGTTTTCAATGCAACTTCTCCGTTTAAGTGTTATCACAAAATTTTCAACCTCTGAAAGATATGCATCGTGAAAATGTGACATACCTTTATATTATTATGCTTAACTTTATCAAAAAACAATAATCTGCAGAATGCATCAATTTTAATTTTCAAATTTCAACTTAAATTTTTACCAGCAATATTCCATCAGTGTTATTCAGTCTGCCACCATTCAATCTTCCCTTCTCATTTTCATCCAGCAATAATTCAAATTGTATAGAGTCAGCTGATTTATCTGTTCTGATTTAATTCAGTTCAACAATTATCCACTATCTGGCGTAGTATTGATTACCAAAGAGAGAATTGATTACTTAAGGTTACTTTTCAACTTATCTTCCATTTCTTAAAAGGGAAAAGAAGAGAAGGTGAGAAAAAAAAGTTCAAATTTCATCTCATAAAATAATTGAATATATCACATTAGCATTAATATGATTATTTTGATTTTTAAAATTTACTTTTTCATTTCAATTAATTTTTGAACATTTTCTTTTTTTGTTGTTGCGTATTTAACAGAGTGCTAGGTGAGGTGGAAGGAAGAATAGATGATTGTAATTGAAATTTCATTTTATTGGCTGCCCCAGAGAATATGATGGAAGTGCTGCACAGGGATAAGACAGTTGGTGCTGGTAACAAATGCGTTTAACTAGGTCGTAAAGGCATTTTAACCAATTATTCTGACAGGTCGAGGAAAATTTTGATTGATAATTCACATAAATTTTGGCGTTTCCCGCAACATTTTATCCTCGGGAATCTAAAACTCTCAGTTACTAAAACCATCCGACCAAAATCATTCTTTCACTCAATCCATTATTACAACACAACCATTCCTCAAACTGCACTATTGTTTTAAAAAAAAAGAAGAGCAACTCATAACTAAATAGCTTTGTTTAATTTTTGATTATTTGAAATATATGATATGAGATTATTAAATTTGTTGTAATATTAAATGATAAATAGTTAATGATATCAATCAATTAGTATTAATATTTGATATTACAAATGAGTAGTTGAAAGAGCAAAACTGGTTCCTAATTTTAGAAAGAATTTACTTCCAACAATGAAAAATCTATGAATCCTAATTAATTCTATTTTAATTAATAAAATATTCGTTTAAAATTTAAGCCTTTCTATGAACAAAGAATGATTTTCTAAATGTTGAAATTGTTATTTCAACATTTAGAATTTAAAAAAAAAATTGAAACGAGAAACTTATAAGAAATGAGAGCTATTAACCAACAACAAATGACGAAGGAAATTTTTTGAAAGGAAAAAGTTCCGGATATGAAATGAATTTCATAACTCAGCTGTCATGATCGAATGAATACTTCAATTTAAATGAATAATATGCAAATAGCTGTAATTACCTTTCAAATTATTACGCTGATAAGGTTAAAATCTGAGAAATTTTAGAGCAATTATGGGAACAATGAAAGAGAATCGGCTTCTTCTTTCATAAAAAAGCAATCTTTAAATTCATTAAAATACAACCTTTTTTATTTATCGCCTTCACAGCCATTTTATCCAATTTAATAGGCATTTTTCTGGGATTATCATGTTCGATTGAGCTGAGAATATCCATCATATGAGCATTCTTTCTTGATATCACTTTAATTCCAAAATGAAATTGTTGAATTACTTAATAGTATAAGAGAAACTATCAACCGCAGATTTTATTTATTCGTTATTTACTGGAACATTTTTGAATGAATCTGAAATATATTGAAATTTTAAATTAGATGAAACTACCTTATATATAATAATTTATGAACATCGAATATTATATGGTTCTTAATTTGCGGAATATTTGTGTAACAAATAAAAATTGAGGCGGTAAATGTGATGAATATAAAGAAACAGGTGACCTGCTTGTTTTTCTCACCTACTACTTTAGATTTAGTTTCTTAATAAAAAGAAAACAAGCGCAAATGGTGGAAACATCATGCGCTCATCATTATACGATCTGCGCGATTTGATTTATGTTCTTGCCGTCATTTTTACCAAATTTCTAATTAATCACGATGGTCATTAATTTCTAATTAATCACAATGGTCATTACGCGTACGACACATATATAAAATCAAAACTTAGTTGATAAATAACCGATTATAGTCGGTTGACATTGTTATCCTCTTCCGAAATACTAGAATCAGGGATGATCGGATAATGCTTATCCTACCTTTTCCACCTTTACTTCATCTCGTTATCAACATTCATTAATTATTTCAATATATTTAAACAGCTACTACTTGTTAATAACACCTTTATTACTTCATCATTTCATTAGCAAAAAAGGAAAATAACATTCAATGCATGTATTCATAAATTTTTATTTTTAAATGAAATTTGGAAATGGAATTCTGAGGTTGATACGGAGCTGATACGATGATATTGATGAGATCAAGGAAAGTGCTATGTTCATAATGAGTCACTCCTTCCCGAGAAATTCTTCAATGTCAGATTCTCAAGAAATCACCTTTTGGGATGGCATACATTTATTGTGTATGTATTTATACATAATATAAGGGATGAATGTCAGGGAGAATTAATAGCGATGTCATCATTAATTCACTATTAGCAGCAGCAGTTCATAAATCTAAATGACGACCGATTCCCTTCGGGTAATAAATCAAAATGATAGAGGGGCGGAGATGGTCCAGCCAAGGTTCACTTCTTCAACGATGTCGAAGTATTTATGAGACAATAAATGGCACGAACAAGTGAAGAAAGGATAAAGATGGCCTTCTGCGCCGACCGGACAAATGAAATGGGCGTCTCTTTCTCTCTCTCTCTCTCATTGAGGAAGGCGACTATTGTGACAATGGTAATGTTGGTGATGATGATGATGATGATGATGATGATGATGGGAATGATTGTGTGGATTATGAGATTGAGGAGGAAGAGAATAACAATAATGATGATAATGATGGTATGAAAGAGAAAGATGGTAAGGAGAGGAAAAAGAAAGAGGATAATCATTATGATGATGAGGAGAGTAATGAAGGAAAATAATGATTATGTCATGAGAATGATGATGATAATCATGAGGATAAGATAATGATACGGATAGTAAGGTGATAATAAGTGCGAGTGATGGAAGAAATTCTCTAAGAGTTCATTATATCATTTATTTCCTCTTTTTTTTCCTTTTAAATTTACGAAGCTATAAAATGAGATCAGAGTAAACCGATAAATGCGTAGAAGGGATCGAAGGAGGAAGTAAGGTAACTGATCAGGAAGTAAGGTGTCATTCATTGCTATCATCGATTCACCGTTCTTTCTTTTCCTGTCCCTAAAATTCAGTAATTTTTTAATTTAATGTCTTATGATGACATTCATCAATCATAAACAAAACTAGACCTTTACCGTTACAAAAATAATTTCTGATAAATCGAAAGCGGGAAGACAGCTGCACATCTTCAACTTATCCTCTGTCCACAATATCCGTAGCCATTGCGATATCTCATCTCATACTGGATTATGATAGTATGCTGCAAAAAAAGTCTCAATTGTTATATCACTACCATTTTTTCATTTCATATATCATTCAGATTTGATCAACGACTATTTTGTTTTTATTTCGCTTGAAAAGAATATGAAATCAATTTAAAAGTCAAAAGTCAATTTTTATTATGCAAGATGACTTCTCATAATTATTGCTCTTAGAGAATGCCTAGGAGAGGATATCTATCTATCTATCTATCTATCATGGATGAAAAACGATGTAGTGTCTCATTTAAGAGGAATTAGAAATAGAGGAGTACTGGAAAGGAATATGGAATTAATTTAAAGGTCAGAAGTCAATTGTTTATCATGCAAAACGATTTCTCATGATTGAATTGAAGAAAATGAAATAACATATTTCCATAGTATCATTTTTCTCAAAAATTTCTTGAAATTTGTTAAAATTTAATTAACGATATGAAGGGAAGATTACCAAAATACGTACCATTTTTGATCTATTAATGTATGTAAATATCCAAAAATGAACGCAAATTTATGGGATTGCCAGCCGCTGGTTGCAATCGAAATCAATAATAATAGGCTGTATAGTGACATTGGATTGAATTGAGAAGAGGAAGATTTATAATGACAAGATTGAGACCACTGATATGTCTTTCTCCACCCCAGAACTCCTTGATATGTCCATTGTCATCATTCCATTCCTTTTATCCCGCTTATCGAACTCTAATTTCCCATTTCATATCATTATCTCATTAAGAAAAGATCGACAGGGCATGTTAACTAATTGGTTACATTGTAGCAATAATTTATAATATTGGAATCGCCACAATTAGAATATTCAAGACATCTCACATAGGTCATCTTCGAGGTCAGCTAACATTAACGGTGCGTGCAACATACAAACTCCTTTTATATCAAAAAAGAAAATTCGGTAAATGTTTGAAGAATGCAAATATCGACGCAAATTTGACAGTAAAATTTCTTAATTCTTGAAGTTTTTGTATTGATGTTTTACAATTTTTTGCAAAGTTTTTTTAGTTTAAAATTTAAATTTGACAATTTCTGTGTTTTGGATATGAAATATTTGCAAAAGGTTATTTATGCTTTATGTAAATAATAAGCAGTAGCATTGATGCGTATGAATTTTGTGTAAACAGTGAATTTGCGCAATTTTTCATTTCTCTATCAAATAGAGGAGAAAGATATCTTTTAGCATAAGAAATGGAAGATTATATGTTTGGTGAAAAAGATCATGAAGTGAATGGATATCATCAGTTTATTGAGATGTGAGCAATTTTTATGTATGATATGGATGATACAGTTACATAAGTTTCGATATCATAATTTTTATGATTGGAAGATATCATCATTATTTATCATTATCAATAATAAGTATCACGATATATCCAACCATGAGGTTTTGTTCTACAAAAATATTTGCGTACTTCATCGTAAACAAATATTAACCATGCATATGATACTGGGATCATTGCCCAACTAAGCCTATAATAATTTCATTAAATCATACTTAATCAAATTTTTTGTGTGGATTTCTTTTGTTTTATACTTAAGTTGAATTTATTTGGATTATAAACTTAGTGAACATTAATAATTCACAAATTGGCTATTTCTTTGTTCACTTAATTGTGGTGCAGTTATTTCAGTTTGTTCACAACAATGAGGACATATTGCTTCAATTTTCAAGCATATATAATAATCTTTAAGAAATAAAGTACCTTATTGGGGTCAATCCAAATACTTTATTTACGTAAGGCATGAAAAGAAGAAATGTGCTGAGTATTGCAGTAAATATTAGGCCCATATTTAGAATCCAATTACTGAAATTACAAAAGATGACTTGGATTTGATAAAATTATTAAATTCACATAACATGAAAAATGAAGAGTAATTCGAATTTTTTCATTTAGCTTTAAAATAAAATAAATCATTTGATAGCATTCGAAGAAAGCTTAAATTCAAATCTAATTAATTTATTGTAGCTAAAAATTAATAGGGACAACTTTTGCTAAAGTAAACTAAATTAAATAAATGAATTACCTCATTCCTTGTTGTACAATTGAATTGTAACGAGTTTTTGATATTAATAGGTCAGCCCATTGTACGACAACGATTGCATAAAAAAAAGCTCCATGACAGCAATGCTCCAAATCCTTTCGTGCCTCATAGGTCTACAATTAAAAGTTTTTAAACTAATCAATAAACTTTGATACCTAACTCGAAAAAAAATCATTGTTTAATGTTTACCCATTGCTGTCCATAACTATCTTCCAAATCGTCCACCATCGGATCGTCCCATTCATCACGAATCCAAAGCAATCGATGAACGTGAAACCCATTTTCTCCCATTATGATGAAATAAGTCATAAAACCAGCTGCTGCTTGCATAATACCAATTTGCAAGTATGAAAAATTCATTAATCTGTAAAATATTTGAAAATTTATTAACAAACGGTTTTATATCAATTTCACTTTTTTATTTCAATTCATTTTCTCATTTAAATTTACAGAAATTCGATCATTAACATTGAAGTATGTCTCTCAAACCTGGCATTAACAAGCTTATCAACTTTGGCATTTCTTGGTGGTCTTTTCATAATATTTGTTTCAGCCTCTTCATAAGCAATTGATATAGCTGGCCACTGCAAAATAAAACACATTTGAAACTGATCTGAATTATAATGAACAAAAGGATTTTGATGAAAATTTCACTCTGATAGTTAGGGCGATAATTTCAAATTTTAATGATAGGTTGGCTTAAGAATCTTAGCGAAGTAATAAATTTCAAAGCAAAAAGCTAAAGTAATAACTTAAGGATTGATGATGAATTTAACATGAAAGAAAGAAATAAGTTTTAGAAAAAAAATATCATACCAAATCAGTTCCTAAATCAATGCATAAAATAGCGACAACACTCATCGGAAGTGGTATACCAAAGAGAATGTATGATAGAAATGGTGTAATTTCTGGAATATTTGAAGTAAGCGTATAAGCTATCGATTTTTTCAAATTGTCGAAAATAATTCGACCTTCTTCAATTCCAGTTACTATTGATGCAAAATTATCATCTAACAAAATCATATCAGCTGCTTCTTTAGAAACATCCGTGCCAGCAATTCCCATTGCTATACCTGTAAAGCAATTTTCGTGTTTACACTTTAGGATTATTAATCTATTCACTACTTCTATGTCTATCACACTAATTCGAAAATTTTCTTTTGAAAAAAATTTTAAAATATACCAATGTCAGCTTTTCGAAGCGCTGGTGCATCATTAACGCCATCACCCGTAACAGCTACAATATGTCCCGCACCCTGGAAAGCTTCCACGATTTGTAATTTTTGGATTGGTGATGTTCGAGCGAAAACAATCTGCAATGTGAAAAATATTTTTGAAGATTTCTAACCATTTAGTTTATTCATTTATTAATTATAATTTGCAAATTAATTAAATAAATAGGGTAGTAGGGGAAGAGATGGACAAAATAAAGTTGAATTTAACTAACAAATGATGCAAATGAATAAATTAAAGAAATAAATTGATCATTAAAAGTAAAACTCAAAATTCACATACACACGCATAATGCTTCACTATATATTTTAAATCTTTATTTGATAATTTTTTGAGCTGTTCGCCGTGTACAATCATTGCTTGGCTTCTATAAATATTAACTGTTGTAAATCATCAAAGAAAATTATTAGCTTAAAATGAATTTAACAATTTTAAATTAATTTAAAAACTAAAATTGATCCTATTGTGTTGCATTAATGTGATGATCACTTTTCTAGACTAATTTGAATTAGGATTAAATTTGATTCCATGAAAGCAATGCTACACAAAAACGAACTTATCATCGTTATCAATCATTTCTCGTTTCAGTTTATCATCATCATTTATTAGCCTTGACATTATACTTCCTTCCTTAATAATGTTGATCTGTCGGGCAATTGCTTCGGCGGTCAATGGATGATCACCAGTTACCATAACAATCTGAAATTGGTTAGTTATTTTCAGAATTTTTGATAAAATAAAATGAAATACAATATTTGTTAACACTTTCAGAATATTTAACGTTATGAACTTTCCAATGATATAATATCAAAAGAATTATATTTTGGTAAGATTAAGATTGATTAAATTTAAGTTTGATCAATCAGTAAACAGAAAGGTGAATGATATAGAGGTTAGCAGATAAGCTATAATATATGAATGGATTGTAAGTAAAAGAGAAGATTTAAATTGCTTCGATTGCGGAACTAATTTTTGAAATGCATACTTTGATTCCAGCTGACTGACAAAGGACAACGGCATGTGGAACAGCCGGTCGTGGTGGATCGATCATTGAAATGAGTCCTACAAATCGTAAATCTTCTAATGGAAAATTTAATGGATCCGTGCAAAATATAAAATCTTTTGGATACTTGTTTGGGTCGAGATCTAAATCGCAGAATCCCAGTACCCGTTCACCCATTCCACCAAGATATTCATAAGCCTGGAATAATTTTAAAAAAAGCTATTAGAAGCTATTTTTCTTAATGTATCACACCATTGAATGATTTAAGGCAGAAATTATTAACAAACATTAAAAATTATTAAATTCTAAAATTATTTTTATATAGTTTCGAGAAAATTTTACGTTTTGGAAAATTTGCAAATGTTCTTTATTTAAAATTTTCTCTCCGTCATCCTGAAGATATGTTTTACATCGAGCAATAATTTTCTCAGGTGCGCCCTTCATGACAAGAATGAAATGGCCATCAGATTCCTGCTTATGTATCGATACCTGAAAAAGAAAATTATATTACTGTGTATTATCAGTAGGATTTGAAAATATTTCTACTGATTTCTGTAAAAAATATTTCAAATTCGTAGTTTGAAAAAATTTTGATAACTTCAGAATATGCAATACTTGGAACTTATTTGTTGAGTTAAAGGGAATTTCACAAATTTTGGGATATAGTTTTCGATAGGCAGTCACATCACCACAAATATATTCGCAATATTTCAATATTGCAACTTCCGATGCATCGCCATTGGCTTCACGTTTCAATAATTTGACATTTCGGTTCTCATCATAAAATGACCGTGGAAGAAATTAATGGCGGAAGAGATAATTTAGTTTAATTTTACTTTTATGCTTTATGAATTAATCTTAAAATTTAAATAAAGTGTTGCCTATGAAAATAAGTACATGTGATTGAAATAAATCCTTCTTTTTCAACTGGAATGCCATTAATGATTAATAAATATCTTTTGATTGAAATTTAAATTTGTTTAAAAGTGTTCATTACTTTGAAACTTTTCTTACATGAAAAAGTCTTCTCTATCTTAACTCTAACCTATTTTTACTTCTTTCCCATCCACCTTAATCTTTTTTTTGGAATGGAATTAATTAAACCTTAAATGTAGCATTAGAGCATAATGCTGCACATCGCAAGAATGCTCCAAAAGCTCCAACGAAACGATTGAAATTCAATTCCTTATGATCGTCGTTTTCATGAAAAATTATCTCAGAAATATTACCATTGAACCTATAATCAATATATTAGAATGATAAAGAGAAATTTGGCGGAAATAATTTTGGAAAATTTTTGATTAAGATTTTCTTTGTTAATCAATAATGATAAGTGATAGAACGAACCATGTATGAGTAACAGTCATTCGATTTTGCGTTAATGTACCCGTTTTATCGGAGCAAATAGTGGACGTTGAACCGAGAGTTTCTACTCCTTCCAATTTTTTCACCAGACAATTTTTCCTTCTCATCTTAACAGCTGTTAAAGTTAAACAGACCTGGAATTAGCAGCCAACATAAAGTTATGCATTTATAGTCATCGATTTCTTGTACAATAATGAAATTTAAGAAGATAAGGTTAAATTATTATTCATAATAAATAATCATTACTCATTCATTACAATTTTGCCAATTAATTTTTTGTTTATTTCTTTTCCATTTTAATTCATTGGGTTTTCAAATTTCGATATTATAAGTTTGAAAATGTACCGTCATAGTGGCGATGATACCTTCAGGAACATTAGCCACAATAATACCAATAAGGAATACTAATGCTTCCACAAATGTATATCCATAAATTATACTAACTAAAAGATTTGAAGCAGAAAAAACCATTTAAATTCAATTTTTTTTTAATCGAATGTTATTAGGTCTTTTATTTCTTCCAGCTTTTTGAAGGATTTTTAAAACAAAAAAATGTAATTAAAAGTTAATTACAATGATAACATGACAAGTTATTCAAATTTTTAGTTTACTTATAAAAAATAAAATGCCAATAAATGTAGCAACACAGCCAACAATAGTAATGAAATGATCAATTTCTCGAGCAATCGGTGTTTTTCCAGAATCAACACGTGATGTCAGGTAGGCAATTCGTCCCATTATCTAACAAATTATATAAAATTATTTTATACCTGTTCAGGTTTTCATTAGAATCTTTTCGACTTTGAGAATTAATTCTTTCATGAAAGCTTGTTTAAGTTGAATTTTATATGATTTAATGAGATCTCTTTGTCATATGCCAGATACCGCTCGCAAATTGCGCTCTGCTCTAACATATAAACTTTACAAGCACACAAATTCATGAAGAAAAGTATATCCGAAACTATCAAACAGTGCTTGCAACTCATTTTACTTCATAATGAAAACAAATTTTGTTAAAGAATTAGCAATCATTTAATAGTAATCATAAATACTCTATGATGATTATTCACAAATTGCACCGTTCTATCGCCTGTAAGTATCACGATCCCTTTGCATTTTCCTTCCACAGCACCGGTTCCAAAAAATATTAAATTGCTAGTTTCCAACGGATTTACATGAGTACATTCGGGATTACGATTTTGCGGCTCACTTTCACCAGTTAAAGTTGAACAGTCTACCTTAAGATATATATATCAGATAAATGAAGAAACGATAATAAGACAAGTGAATGATAACATTGTATATAAGGAACAAAAGTGATAATTTGAAGAGAATGATAATGATTTTAAAATAAAATGTGATAACAAAAATGAACTTTAAGACTAGAGCTGGTGATAACACGAATATCTGCTGGAATACGATCACCCGCTTTTATATGCACAATATCTCCTGGTACTATTAATGTAGCATCAATCGTCTTCATCTGGCCATCTCTCAATACCTAAGTTAATTTGTATCAATTGAATATCAGTTATAAATATTATCATAATAATATTAGTTATCATTATTATCATACCATGGTTTTTGGAGGTGCTAATTTTGAAAAACTTTCCATAATTTTCGAGCTTTTATACTCCTGATAATAAGCAAAAAGTCCAGTGACCACAACAACAACAGCAAGAACAATACCCATATAGAGCTGTAAGGAAAAGAGATTTATCATGCACTTGCTTTGAAGAAGAATTTCATCAAAGTTGATAAATCAATATATCACTAACATTATCCAATTTGACATCAGCGTTCTGTCGACTTTCGATAATGTAACTCGTGACAGATGCAAGTGATCCAAGCCATAAAAGAAAATTAAATCCAGCAAATAAGCATTTTAGTATTGCTAAAAATTCTGATCGTTTTTTTGGTGGCGTCAACATATTTAAACCATATTCCTGCAGTAATTGATTTGCTTTCTCTTCCGAGTGTCCCTGAAACATTTCGTAGAATTGTGTTTTAAATTTATTTTACTTTTTATTTTTCGAGTTATGAGCCGAGCCTATAAAGAATAATTGCAACATGGCTTATAGCAACAATAAGCCATTATTTTTATTAAATTTGAACAATTTCAAGCGATGCGAACTTTTAGACATTTCAATTGTGTATTTATTAACTAATCACTGATGCTTGAACTTTTACTGCAATGTTCCAATTCAATGAGGCTACTTGAACTTCTACAGTAACTTTATTCCTAACATTTTGTTTACGTTAACCTCTAACATTCTCTGCTATCAGCCTTCAGTAATCACTGATAGCTGCATTAATCGCTTTATTTCTTCAACTGAACATGCTTCCTCCTAACAAAATAGAAATTTGCGTATGTGAGAAATTTTAATTTAAAGTGGATGAGAAAAAGAATTCGCATTTTACGTTTCAAAGTATTATATAGTTTATAAGATGGAGAGGCTATTTAAATACATTTGTTGATAGTCATTCCGTTAATGGTCATTTTGCTTTCATAATAGTTTCTTCCTGTATTAGCTGCAAATAATAATTTGCAAAAAGTATTATTTATACTTTCACAGTATTATTTATACTTACCTTATCGATATCTACTTTCAATTCATTGCAAAGCTTATCTAGTGGAATTTGATGCTCTCTCTGAAATTAATTCTACCAGCAGCAAAGTTAAAAGTTGAGAAATAAATTTGTTAAAATAACTTTTAAACAAATTTTACTTCAAATAATAAATTTTAACTATATTATCGGTAATTAGGTTTGTATATCCGTTACCATTTCAACTTCTTTTTTCATTGATTCCAATGATACTTTACTTTTTACTTTACCCATTCTGAATTACGAATTCAACCAACAAGCAGCAATATAACTTCAACAATTGTTATATTTGTTAAAAATGCTATGATTTTTAAGAAAAAAAGAAAGCTGAAATTTACATATGCCAAAAAATTGACAGCCAACTTATAATGGAAGACGTCAGTCACGTTGGAAGAGTTGTTGTTAATTGCTGCAAATTTTATGAGTTACAATTCTTACAGTTGCAAATATCTTTTTTGATGTTTCTGATATTTTCTAAATATTCAGAAAATACGAGCTTCTAATTTTGTGTTAGGAATTTTACAAATTTTTGATACAAATGAAAAGAACAATTTCTTTGTGCTTGTTTTTTTTAAGTTGTCAAGAAATATAATCTAAATGATAGTTTTCTTTTGGTTCAAAGCTGAAAAATTTTGGATATTTGAAGCTTTATGAAGAATTTCCATATTCGATATATTAAACAATAAGTTTTTCAGACAATTAATTAATTAAAATTGGTATTTTTATTCATTTGAAATGAACATATAAATCTTTCAGTCAATTCATGTATTGGTTTGTAATTTTAATTCTTTAAATATGGATTGATAGAAATCTGGTAATAAGAAACTTTGTATTTAAGGAAAAACAAACCAGATTGAAAATACAAGCTATTCTATTTTCAGATCATTTCTTTTGTACCACCTCTCAATAAACATAGTAACATTGCATAAGGCACTAAGTCTTAGTTTTGATATTATTAAAATCTTTATTTAAATTTGAAAATTCTAGAATTGAACCATTCGGGATCGGATTTTTTTGAATCTAAACTTAAATGATAGAACTTTGCAAAATTTTGAAGGAGAAAATTTTATTAGAGTGAGAAATGTGATCATCTTTTACTTCATGCATATCAAGCTTCCTTAAGTACCCACTAAGAAACAATTATTTTAAGATTTAAAATATATGACTCATTAACGATGTTCATTATCCTTTGCTGAAGAATAGTATAAATTGGAGTGCTGCTAGTGTATATTTTAGAACATTGCACTCAAATTTGGACATGAACACATCATCGCCCTCATATATTTCCACTTATCAGTATTGCTAGTCGAATATTGACTGTTTAAACTGATTGATACACACAGTAATGATAACAACAATTCTATGATCATCTCTGCTGTACTTACTTCTTTCATGTCTTATTCGAAAGTGAAAAAAATCTTGTTACCAACTGTCATCACTTTTTTCTTTAAATAACAATCTTTGCCGATTAATCTCGATTAAATAGCATGCATGCAAAACTGACACAAAACTTTCGGTTAGTATTAAATTGATCTGACGTAAGAACATTGTTATAAATCAATTATTGAAATATAATACAAACGGATTTATCGATTTTTTCGAGTTATACTTTGTAGTAATAATTAATTATAACAAATACTTCAAATTAATAATTCAGTTTAAATATTACATGTGTTGTCGAGAAAATGTTTTTGCTCTTATGATCAATATGAATTGAATCAATCTTTCGGCATACTATTAATATTTCCTGTTGAAAATTTCACTGATATCCTAAAAATATTTGATAATAAATATATAAATTTATAAGTAAGAGCAGAAAACATATTATAAAATCAAGGGAAACCTATTAATATTCATTTTTTCTGCCACCTGTATATCGAGAATTCTTGAAGTAAGTGATTGACTCATGCAGGAGATATTAATGCTAGTTAGAAATGGGAAATAAAAATAAAAATAGAGCAATTAATACTAAGCTTAAAATATCATCAATTTGCTGTAAGAAAATTAAAAGAATGAACCAATAAATTAAGGCAGCAACAGGAGCGGAAATGAAATCAACAAGAAAGGGTATATAAAAGTAGCGCCATTCATCATATACGGATAAAAATATGTAGGCCGTGGAAGTTAAGCCAATACTTCTTGCCAGATTTGATGTCTGACCAATAGTAGAATATCCAACAAAAGTAATGATTGCCTGAAATTCCACTTCTGATTTTTATACTGACTGGTCTTTAGCTAGATATAAATAGCTTATTAATTTTCTATTGCTAAATTAAATAAATTGAAATTTATGAAATGAATAATTAAGACATTAAAACAGTCCTACCCGTGTGGTAGATACAACTGCAGCACATAAAGCACCATTCCTACCGTGGTTGATGATACCTGTGAACAGGTAAGCACAGCAAATCAATGTACTTAGTGTTAATTCCATGAAAAAATACTGCAAACATTAAATTGGAACTTAATCAATCATTTTTTTCTATTTTGTTCAGTTCATTAATTAATACATTAATTTTTCCTAACTTAGCTTCACTTTAATATTGCCTTAACTAAAAAGTTTCTATCAACGCCAAATGAGGTACGAATTAGACAACGGCAATATGATATATATTATTCATAAAGTTTATTCTCCAATATGAATGCTTTACAAATTTACATTTCACTTGTCACGACTGGTAATTAGCAATGCATTCTGTAGCAAAAGTTTTACCTGCAAACGATTTACTAAATATATCTCTGTGTTGGACCATTTTATTGCTGCATTTATTGCTATTGCAAATGTGTTGCCTTGCAGAATACATCTCGCATAAACAGCACCAAGAAATGATCCAAAAAATTGCATAAATATCATGAAAAATCCAATTGCTAAGCGACATTTTCCAACAAATATTGCTGACAGCGTCTGTGCTGAAATTTCAAAATGAAGACATTTTTATTGTGATTTCTGCACTATTAAAAGTTTGAAAAATGAATCTCATTCATAGTTGTGAATGAAAATAAATTTTTGAATTTAATGTCGCACTCTTTTTTAATCAAACATCCACTTGTTCTACCTTACTTAGTTTCAAAAGAAACACAAAAAATTACCTGGATTGAAATGTGCTCCACTAAAGCGTCCCAAAGAGCACATTAATATGTATAAAGTAACACCGTCTAACAGTGATATTATCAGTTGTATATTAATTGTATGCAAATATGAAAAAATATCTAAAATTGAAGAAATTTTAATTGAAATAAGAATCTTTTTAGTGCACCTGATAGAAACTGAGTAAAGTTGACAAATTTTCCCAAATTAATTAAAACTTAAAAATCTTTCAACAAAATTTAATTATTGTTGAATAATAAAAATTACTTAAAAAAGTGAACAAGAATGAACCAACAAATTCAGCAATAGCGGGTATAAAAAAATCCACTGAACTTGGCCTATATTCGTTCCTAAACAAAAGAAATAATTAATTGAAATGTTTTCGAAAGATCCTATACATTTAAGTAAAATATTCATGAAAAAGTTTTCTTCAACTTTGTTGGAAGTTAAGTTGCCAGCACTGAAATATATACTCGCAGAGCAAATATGGCATTAAAAATTATTAAAATCGAAATACCTTGAAATGAGTTCATTCGTATTTTCTCGATCCAACTCAAACAATAATCTTTGAACGATTGGTTGCATAGGTTTGAAAATATTTTACTGAAGCACGAATTACGATTTTGGCTATTTCAGTGGTTAATAGAAAACTGAACAAGATGGAGCAACTTGGTGATATATGTGTATATGACATAAATCTCCACGTAATTATCACTATGGAAACAAGGCAGACCTGACAGTTGGTTAGTTACTGATACTATGATGTTTTACTTCAATGAGATAATGATTTTTGAACAGTATCTTCATTTGATGATAAATCTGACAATTTTGTCAAATTTTTGTCTAAATCATGAAATGGAATTTTGTTAAAAAGGAAAGCAATTATCCTTTTAGTCTGTAAAAGGTTTTTATCGTTTCTTCTCTTTGCAACTTAATTACAAATGTAACTAATCCCTATTGCGCATTTTTTCCACGGATTTAGGTAACCAATTTTGTCTTACAAATGTTAGTGCTATAAGTAAGTAGTAAGGATACGAAATTTATTCACGAATTGTGACTTTGCAAAAGCATACTACGAATGTATGATATGTGTTGCACGCAAATAAATTAAGCATTCACTGCTAATTATGTTTTGTAGAGTATAAAAAATTTATTTGATAATATTATGAAAAAAATTTCAAATTTTATGCTTAATCAAATAGAGGAAAGAGAAATGAAAGTATTTGAAATATCTTTTAGTTTTCGAATAATCATAATAACACTTATATGAGTTGATAACTATTTTGATGAATGTATTAGCAAGTGAAAATTAAAATACAATAATTACCATAATTATTCTCCTTTGTTTCCTATTTTCTTTCAAATAAATACGTAGTATATTAATAAACGCTTCCGTTGAAATCATTTCACATTTGTTATTATAAGAATTAAATTGTTGGATAACAAGAAATATATGTTTTCTTTTCAAAGGTTTTTTCCTTTCTTTTTATGAGAATTTTTTTCAATTTTTTATAAGAATTTTAAAAATCTCATAAAATGTGAGCAACTCCCTATAAGAATGTTGATTTTAGCTCTTAAAAGGAAAAGTATAAAAACAAAATTTCGTTAGTTTATATTGCCAAATGATCAAAATAGTTAGAGATAACAGAATTATCAGCAAAAACATTCTTTCGAATTTAACGAAAATCCTATAAAACATACGGACAAGCGGTTACTTCCCTGATGAACATATACGATGATTCCGTAATTTCTTAAAACATGGCAAAAACATCCTCTGTAAGTTAATAAAAAGTAAACAATGGAAAAAGCTGAGGTGATTACGAATCATTACTTCCTACTATACTGGTATATAACACTGAAAGACAGGAAAAAGTAAAATGGATTTCACCTTTCCAATTTGTTCTGTGTTACCGCGAGATAATCTTAGCATAACATGTCAATATTTTAGTCATTAGATCATATTCATTGATTTCTTCCAGCATTTCCTCACGCAACTACACTTCATTGTTTTTATTTTAATTTTTCTGATATATAATTGGATGTTTGTTGATGAAAATATAGTAAATTCCGTTTGAAATGACGACAAACCTTAGCTTGTCCGCTAAATTAAGATAGTTTATGGTATAGCAAATCTTATTTAAATTCAGTAGCAATAGTGATATATGCGTCACCAGATCAAAGGAACCAGAATTCGATTTTAACCATATTTGATCTGCAGTATGAAATCCCTAGATACACACAATATTGCAGTATGAAATCCCTGATACACACAAGTAATGAATTCTTTTATTATCCATGAACATTAACATTAATTAAAAGCACCGTATTTACAGCAAGAACCATCATACAGTAGTATAGAAAAAGTAAGTAAAAAGTAAGTTTTTTCCTCCCTTATTATAAACGAGTTAAACTAAATAATAAGTGATTATCACGTAATCTAAAAATCTTGCTCAAATATATTAATATCATTTAATTTAATGGAACTTTAAGAGCTGAAAAAATACTAACAATAATATTTATATCAGCAGGTTACTTTACATCTATCTTATTTTGAATATATGAGATAAACAGCATGAATCATATAAGTTCCTTTAAAAAAAGGAAAAAAATATTATTATTGGCTTAAACTTATGTAAAACGTAAAATGATGATTACGACCAAAGAAAGCAACAGGTAGCAAAATATGATGAAAGGTGAACTAATTATTACACAAAAATACAAGAAAAAAGAAGATAAAAAATTTTATACAATTACTGTAGAATCACAGGTACTGCCTTGAACTTTACATGAAGAATAATTTACATAAAAAATTGGTATCGAAAACAGATAATCCAGTGCACTAATAGTTAAAGTTGGATACATGAAATTGGTTCTGGCTCAATAAGACATGAAATAAATCAGAAATCAAAACTAAAATGTGAAATCTGAGAATGGCAAATGGGGTCGAAAGCACTGTATGTAAAATCTGGTATTTCGGAACGAATTTTCTTCCTGCAATTGTTTCAAGAACAAAAAAATGATAGCGAAATAAAAAAACATTCTCATAAATAAAGAACATTCCCATAAACATACTTTTTTTAAAAAACGAAAGAACTTGTTGATATTCACAGAAAGCATATCAGTAGGAATTTGTATGAAAACAATAGACATACTAGGTAGTAATTACAAATTTACCTTAATGAAGGATTTTTCATCCACTGACACTTGTTCTCTGCTTCATTAATGATAGGCTTAACAGAACTACACTCGAGTGGTCGACAACATTGCCATATTTTGTCCTTCTTGGTATTGCGATAAATGGCTTTGCTAGTATCCAACTAAAAAGTGCTATTAGACTGTTCTAAAATTCCACATTCAGATCATTATGCCTTTAATGAAAATAGCAGTAGTTATACAAATGAACAAAAATTTCGATTTTATTCCATAATCCCCAACCTTTTGGTTAAGATATATATACACTTATGTGTGAATAACAATTACCATATTTGCCGAGTCTCTCTCAAACCAAGCGCTTACAGTGATCGGACGATATTCACTCAAATCAAATTCAGGTTGTCGTGGCAGTGAATTGCACGAGATATTTGTCGAAAAATCTTCGTCCATTGCAAGTTTCATCAGATCATTTGAATTAACCGATAAATTTGCCAAGGACTCAGCATTATTTTTTTCAATTTTTGGGAACAAATCCTCAAAGTTACAGTCTAAAATATTTCAATTTCAAACAAACTCATTATTGGGATGATTTGGTGGTTAATATAAGGATAATTGTGTAACCATCACTCGACGGTTCCAATACCCACTTAACAAGCTTTGTGAGAGAAAAAATACTATAAGTCTGCCCAGAAAATACTATAATCTGTTTAATAAAAAATTGGTGTTAACCTGACATATTATTGGATAATGAACTTGGCAACTGATATACGTCCGAGATAGTATTTGCACCATCAGAATTTGATAACACATGCTCACTATTGGCTGGGATGTCTTCAAATTCAAATAACTTTACAGATGAGCTGTTACTTTTCAGAAGTGCCGAACCTGCCGAAAACGAGTTGAGTGGAGATAAATTCTTGAAAAAGCTGCGCCAAAATTTCTGAAAAAAACAAAATACTGAAATGAACACAAACAGTAGTTATGAGCTTAAACAACAAATAGCTGTCTGTCATTCACGAAAAATATCCCACAATATCCTACCTCATGCGTATTGTTCTCTCTTCGTGATGATTCTGACTGCTCTTTTTCCTGAAATTTTGTACCCTTCGGATATATACCATGACGTCGCAAAGAACAAGCTACAATGCCTGTTGCAGCGACGGAATAACTTGTTGAATCGTTATTTCGAAGGTTTAACTGTGGCAAAGCTGATAAGATTCGTTCTGCGTAGTCCAACAATAAAGGATCTGCAGGAAACAAACACAAGTCTTTATCATCCCTGAAAAAAAAAAAGATATATGTAACAAAAGATTTAACACGGTAGCTTGATAAGGAACAGAACTGAATCAACAAATAAAATAAAAAATTGAAAGATTGAAAGGTTGAAAATTTGGTCAATAAAGACAGAGGTCCTACTACAAATACTAATGCTAATATTAAATACTTTGAAAATAAAAGAAAAAAATTTAGAGATTGATAAGTGAATCTTGCTTCTTTTTATTTCTGCTGCCACTTTTTGTTGTAGTTGGGAGTTCATAAGCAGATAACATGCTATCTTTTCTACTGAGAACTGTAGCTTCATGAGCAGGCGATTTTAGATTTGTTCTCGTTCCAAAACTATAAAATGTTAAAAGTAGCGAAGCAGGCTTAAGTAAAAGTCGCCTGTATTGAAATTATTAAACAGAAAAAGCCATAAATTCATATATATATATATATATGACGTAAAACAACAATATCGAAGAACAATTAGATCTTCTAAAGATGTATATATATATATATATATGACGTAAAACAACAATATCGAAGAACAATTAAATCTTCTAAAGATGTATATCACATCAGAACAACCCAATTCATTTCATTTTCATTATACGCTAACAGTGAAAACTTGAGACATTCGTTCGTACTTTTACATGAAAAATCTTTTCAAAATTTTCTTCCTTATTTATTTTTTTGAAATCAGAAATAAAGTGAATATATTTACCTGAAATGAGAAGGGATACCAAAAATATTATCCACTGATGATGTTATGGGGAAGACAGCGCTGCGATTATTATTACTCTCAGCTCTTCTACATGCTCTATTCCACATTCGTCGCCTGTCACGAGAATCTTCAGCCATTACTGCTCGTACATCTTCCTGAACCTAAAAATGAATTGAAATCATCAAAAATTTTTGGAAGAAAACCACTAAAAAAATGGAACAAAGAAGCAACTCATGCTTGTCATATTACATATATATATATATAACTCCCCTATTAAAAATAAACTACATAGCAAAGTTTTTCGCCAGATAAGGAAAAAGAAACCAATGATCTGAAGTTAAATAAGCAATGAAGAAAAGTAATAAAAGTAAACTCTGCGTCGCATAGAAGACGTTATCATATTTGGTTCAGCGATAATTTCCGATTGTTTTGCAAACATCCAAAGACCAGCTCGCTCCTTCAAACGTTTATGAGGTGAAATGGGTTGAGTTAGTCGTTGCGGTACTGAAAGTTCCGCAGAGATTAAGATTCATTATTTACTATCATTCATTTAAACTCAAAGGTTAACCTAACATCATATCATATTTTACCAAGCTGCCAGTGCAATGTTAGGATGAATGATAGCAATCGTGAATCCGGTTGATCTTAATTCACAACCTTAAAATCTGCCTTGATAGACAGAATAAAATTAAATTCCGATCAATGAGTATGTCGCTGAGAGAATCGATATCAATTTACACAACAAACACGTTGAAAACCAAAGCAATTACTGAATAAATGCTTTGTGAGTTTATATTCAAGAATCAAAAATAAATCAAAAATAAAGAAAATAATTACTTCGATTTTTAACTTTAAGGAATCAATAGTTTAAAATAAGAAAAGTAACAAAAATTATCAGTGATATCAAACATCGTTCAAGATAGGACTTTCGTAGAAAAGCTTAGCTCTAATTTCTATTTTAAAATCCCCCCTGTTTTTCAAAAAACCTCTTCTGGAAGTATTAGTTAATGTAGTTCGACGCTCCTTAGCTCGTTTCATCACTGCATTAACATGTTTCGCCATCCCATCGTGCCAATTTTTTCCACTTTGTCGTCCGGAACGTCGGTGATTTACACCAGATCGCATAGTCTTAAAACGAATTCAAATTAACAATTTGCTACGCAGACTGATAGCTGCTCATTGGCGAAAGAGAAATTAATGGTTGGTAAATTGACGCTTGTAGTTTTAAAGTATTCATGATGATCAACAATATCTTTTGAAAGAACTTGGTATTTGTCAGAAAGCTTGCTAATTCAAATTTACAACGTTTAAAGCTTTGTTCGATAATAGAAAAGGTTTCTCGAATAGACTTTTCTTGCTGGAGAGTAAACATAATATTCCATCGCCTCCCAAAAAGTACCTATCATCGGGAATACTGTCGACCCATTTTCAACAATTTAGCAAACGTTATGGATAATACCTGCACTTTCACTAATAACTAACAGTAATATGTTTTGCTGTCATAGCTGTTAACATGCGTTTCTTTAAAGATTTCAAACCTATTGAACTTTATACATCAAATTTGTCAACAGCAGTAAGATCTTAAAATAACACGTTTGATGATCTCTTATAGAAAAGCTAGGAAAAACGTGACAGGACATCGGTCTCGAAATTGTGACTCATATGACGTAATTTTTATACAAAAATTTCGAACGCATGGGATTGTATTTTCACCAATGTCACTTTTTCATTATCTTTCCAAATATTTAATGAACCCTTTAAGTCATAACATCACTGTACAATACTGTCTGAAAATAGGGAAGTCGCAATCTATAGTTCGATCCAAAACATTTTCCTATATATGTGTATTTGAAAGGATTAAGAGCATTTCACAATCATTTCAACTTTTGCACTTCTTGTCCTTAAACTGATTAGATCAAATTCTCAAGTCATACGATCAAGATGACCCTTGACTAATCTCTCTGAAGTCCTTGCAAGTTTATGGTTTATGGAAAATAAGTTAGGAACAAAGCACACCTTTCTAATTTTTTTGCGAAGTTTAAGGCATGCGGTGTAAGTGCAGCGTAACATAAATGTCTTAAGACATTCATGTAGATGCAGACTTTAACCTACCAGCTACAACTATTCCTCCAATTCCCGCCCTCCAGTAGTTTCAAATTCCTTAGCCATAAGTTCGAATTTCTAGCATTCAGCAAATCTAGTATTCGGTGGCTCAAGAATGACTTTGATTATTACTGTTATCAATGTTAGATCGTTTGTGTACCATATCATTCAGATAGTAATCTCCTCCATAATGGTATTTATGGTTGTATGTATGAATTGGTTAACTAAGCAACGTTTATTAATTTTCTGCTAGTTTCAAGTTATTGTTGCGTGGATGCTACTGTCGTTGTGCGGTGAATTCGAATTTTCATAAAAAAAAATTGGACTCAATTGATCGAAATGGAAGAGGAGAAAGGAGAGAATCTGTTGACAAACTACTTTGATCCATGTACTGCTGATAGTGGAGAAAGCATATATCAATGCCAGTGTTACTGCATCAAGCTGAGGTTACGCTTCTCTTGCTTTCTTTTCATCTGCACTAGTATGTCTAAGTTTGCTAAACCACAAAAATTAATAAGTACGGAAAGATCAGAAATTTATGTCCTCATAAAATGGACACATTGCAGTGGAAATGAAACACCTCTAGAACCGAATGTGCATTGCGCATGCACGGGGGAAAACCGACGTTATGGTATAAAATATCGGTGCCGAAGAAAAGCATTGACATTTTTGTCGTGTATAATTGATGGACAAACAGTAGAACAATCATTCTGTTCGGTTAGTTATGTATAACTTGATTTATGCCGGTATGTTTTAGTACATTCAAGTTTTTTTCTTTATATTTCAGAGCGACAAATAATGTAATGTAATAGCCGTCATCAAAGGAAGAATTCATTAAATTATTGTCAAGATTATTGGTGTCATTGAAGTGCGCATTTGATGCATTTAACGCAGTTTAGTTTAGATCCACTCAGAAATGGTTCACCAACATCGATTATGCCTAGTTTGTTATGCTTTTTGCACAGAGGTAATTACTTTGTTATAATCTAGCAAAGTGGTTGAATTAATGTGGTACAACAAATTAATCGACAAATAGACTTTAACTTATGATTGTTGTGGGAGCGAGTTTAAAAAGGAAAAAAAAGGATTTTGTAAAATTATCCAGATTAACGAATTCATTGGGAGAGAACTTGTAAAAAGTGCTGGGTGATATTTAACTCCGGAATTTGCATGCTTCAGAGTTTTTCGAAACATTTAACGCGATGCTTTTCAGTTGTTTTAATTCCTTTAGCTCCTATAGTTATAAGCATATTTCTACTATTTTATGATAAATTTTGTGGCACTGACTGAAGTGATGTATGGAGTCATTAAAGAGAAGCTTAGGATAGCTTAGGATATTTGCATTTTTTAAATCTATTTTTCGGAAATGGTTATTGTATTAAAAGTGGATTAGCATTTTTTGCAGGGCGAATTGAAAGTCTGTAATGAACTGGGAGTACAACATTGGATGCACGCGGATTGCTATCATTCATGGAAAGAAGCATGCTGTCATTGCAATATTCTTTATTCTGCATCATCTCATTTCACCTTATTTCCTTACAAAGTATTTTCTATATTACATTTTGAACATTCCAGTGCTATTCAAAGTCTGCACACTGTGGAATAGTATGTTTCAGGATCCTTTGTTTGAGAAGCTTGAAACTGTTTTCCCGAAGATGACTAGAGGATTGCAATTGAATGTCTGTAAGTTATTTTGCTGGTGAAATTGTTAACGGATTTATTCTAATTGAATTCTGTAAAGCTTCATCTGTTTATTTTCCTAATTTACATATTTTTTCGTCAAAAATTTGTCCAGTTGATTTTTTTTGTTGAAACCAATTTTTTTTACCATACATCATTCAATTGCTTTTTCTTGTTTCCATGATACATTCTTGAAATTCAAGTTTTAGTAGCTCTTTGTGGAAAAGAGAACTACTCATGGTTAATGTCAGAATTGGATGCATTTCAATCTGATTACTCCAACAATTTAGCGACAGAACGTCCGTTCCACACGAAAAGCCAATTACTTTTACGTGAACTTTGGGAGACTTTTCAAGCCGGTACTTTCAATTAATTTTCATGAACGGTTGGATTTATTCTTTTTCTCTTGGTCTTTATGTCGAATTTACCATTAATATAAATCAACTTTTATTTATAGATAAATCGCCTTATGGACGTCGCAAATACTATTTGGACAGCATAAAGTTTGCAGTACAATGCTGTGATCGCTTATCTCTATTAATTATTCTGCAAGTAAGTACTTTTTGTTTTAGAAATATTGCGGTATTCTGTATAATTTGCTGAAATTTTCTTGATATTCTGATTATTAAATAAACATTCTCATTGATTTAATTGTATTTTAAATTTGGATGCATCGTAAATTTGGATTTTAAATTTGATTGCACCGTCTGTTGGAACTCAATAATTCATTTTCCTCTATTTCAGTTTTTGGATGTAGCTGTGGATGGCGAATGTCTTCTTTTTGCTGTAGAAGCTAACGATGCGTTTTCTGTAAGGGTACTTCTTCATCATGGTGCTCCAATTAGTTTTGAGGTTGCTGTTCTCAATGGATACAAATTTATAGTTTACATTTTTCTTTCGAAAAAATTGCAAAAATTTCGTTGTAGAAAAAATCGGGAGAAAAAGTTGATTCTCTAAGTATGGCGTTTAAACTTGGAAATTGTTCATCAGCAGAAGAAATTCTAAAGTTCTTGAATTACCGCAGTACTCGATTGGTTTGTTTTTGTTTCTTTTGAGTCATCTAATGTTTGTCTGTCAAGCATAATCTGTTTCGTTACAATTATGAATGCATGATTTTCCATACTGAATTGAAGTTACATGTGACTTAGAATCTATAGATTGATATTTCCGTCAAAATGAAAAAATTGGTTCAAATATGGAATTTTATAGCAAGAATCAATGCGCAATCGTTTACTGGAGTTCATTAATCATCGTGATTATCGTGCAGTAGATCTCCTCCTTGCTTACGGTGCGAATGTTTATGATCGTACCGAGAAAGCAAGAACAGTCTTTCACAAGCTGACAGAGAATAACGATCAACAACTTGCCATTGCTACTGCAACTAAGTTATTTGAAAAAACAATAATTGTACCATCTTTTATTGATGCTGAAGATTACCATCATTGTACTGCTCTCCAATTGGCATGCGCGAGATGCTACTGGAAGCTTGCTGAGTAAGTTCTTTTTTACAGATATAATTTACTTTGATCTTCTTCATTTAAATATTACATGTTTAAGTAGGCAGACTTTATTGTGTCGTAAATTTTTAATTGCGAAAGTGTGATTTTTATTAAAAATTCCCTTAGGATTCTTTTATAATCCCGGTTATTATTTTGTTGTTTGCTTCAACTTGTTCGATTCTAACAACGTTGCAAAATTGCAATTTTAATTTTATCAAGTTAATCCCATTACATTGCTTATGTCCAACGACTTAATATGCGAACATCTTTTTTAAAGAAAGTAGAGGAATTTAGCTAATAAGATAAGAATTTCCTTCGATTTGGATTTATGATATATACTTTTTAGGAACTTTATTATGCAGAATGTATCTTTATCACTCTTTAATAATACAAAGATTATTTGAGAAAGATCTCGTAATTGCTGGTAGTGTTATTGATGAAGAGTGTGTACCGCCCCTTTAAAAATTACGAGAAAAACTATTAATTAAGGCTCATTAAACAGCGAGGGAATGTGTGCAATTGAAAATGAAAAATAATACATGCGGTAAAATATTCGTGTATTTATAAGACATAGGTAAAATAAAACAACACTCAATTTGCAGTTATGAATCAGTCGAAATTAACTTCTCATTTATAATTTAAGTATATATAATATTTCTACTCATCTTTTAATTGTTCATCCATTGATAAAAATACCACTAGGCATCGATTTATTAAGAATAATTAATGTTGAGATTTAGTCTTAAAGAAGAACAAGTTATAGGAGTAGGAGTTATAGGAGTAAAAGTTATAGGACTTTTAGAACAATAGCATTTCTGGTCAACTTTATTTTAACATTAAAAA